TTCAATAGGAAACAACATGGTAATTTTATGATAGTATCTCTTTCCCTCGCGACCCTTGAGATTAGACATTTTGTCTCACTTGGATAAAAACTAATATTATCTTGCCAGACGGTGTCTTTGTAGTTTTGACTGGAGTAGAGCTGGACACAGTAATAGCTGATGATGATTCTAAATATCAGGAGTACAATTTAAATAGACAAGTGTTTAAAAATACTTGGTAACCCATGTAATCCAGGAGTCCAACAATGTTAAAGGACTTTTTGCCTTGCCCATAGTGTTCTACAGTCACCACGACAAACTCATAAAGAATCATATTTTTCCACCGACTTAATGTGATGACTGGGTCGTTTCTAGGGCATGTCTGTAATTCTTTTGAGAACTATAGAATCAATAGAGTAATTTCTTTTGTTTCAGCAGGAAAACATGTTGATTTTATAATTTTAGCCACATTTATATCTCATGGAGAGAAAGAGAGAATAGCTCCCACAGAGCAGAGGGAGGAAGCAATGCAGCTTCTCAATCCAAAAGTTTATTGAACTTAATTAGGACAGGTCTACCTTCTGTGGCAAAGATGTCTTTCAGTCTGCACTTTGCTTGATAATATTTAAAGCTTATGGAAACTTTCTACAGAATACTTTTATTTTATTTTTTTTAAAATATATTTTATTGATTCTCTACAGAGAGGAAGGGAGAGGGACAGAGAGTTAGAAACACTGATGAGAGAGAAACATCGATCAGCTGCCTCCTGCACACTCCCCACCAGGAATGTGCCCGCAACCACAGTACACGCCCTTGACCGGAATCGAACCTGGGACCCCTCAGTCCACAGGCCGACGCTCCATCCACTGAGCCAAACCGGTTAGGGATCTACAGAATACTTTTAATTAGTTTTCTTAGAAATGAATTAATTTGGTTTTTCCCCAGTATGTCTCTTTCTTCTTTGCTTATAGACAGGTAATTTCCCTCTGACCATGTTCTCCCCAGGTGTGTGAGATAGAATCTCCTTATTCCAAACCAGCATTGGACAAAGAGCTGTAGCAGGCTTTCACTGCAGCTCGCAATGTTAGTTCCTATAATTTGACTGATAGGAAAATGTACTACCTTTCCTATTTTGAAATGAATTTCATTGGTATGCAATATATTTTCTCTTCCACAATACACTGTTTCTTTCAAAAAGTGGACTAAATGAATGTATACGGAGGGAAAAAGTTGGTATACCCATGAGAGCAAAATAATCATGGTTTCAGGTGAAATTTGCACACATGAAATTTAGCAGTAAATGTATCTGAAAGAATCATTTATGTAGAAGGAAATGGAGAAAACTTGCTTAGAAAAATATATGGAATTTAATAGAATGATTAGTTTCAACTCTGAAAACTGTCACAACATGACTTCCTGATTTTCATGGTAATAATATAAACATTTATTCACTTAAAGAAAAAAAAAATATATATATATATATATATATATATATATATATATATATAATTATTTCTGCATGACAAGTCTTATAATTGGTACCAGAGCATGTAACAGTGAGTACAACACACACAAAAAATCCTGATTTCATGGAAACTAAAAAACTAATAAAAAAATTTAAAGGTAAACAGAGCAAGCAAATACGGTAGGCTGTTTAAAATCTTCACCAAGAAGATAGAACTAACCCTAGAAATTTTAAAATTCTGAGTAAATTTCCCTGCTGACAATTATTATGAAAGCCAGTGTAAGCCTACCTATATGCATGGAAAGCAGAAAATGTATTCAAAATCAATTAGACCAAAGACATGGTATACTACCCAAGCCAAAATTCTGCCCATTAAGGCTATTTATTAAGACATTTAGTACTATTGTCAGTTCTCCCTGCCCCTCTGATTTTTCTCAGAAAATTTTCAAACAATAAGTGAAGATAAATTGTTTCAATAGACTTATTTTATGAAGAGGTAACCTGAGACACAAAATTTAATTATCTCATAATCAGCATGAGAGATTAAAGTTGAACCCATCTTAAATCTTGGAACTAGATCATTAAAATCAAATGAAAGTGCTGGCTCAGAGGGCTAGACATGGCATGAGGTCTTGTCCTGGGGATCTTGTCACCAAAGGTGGCATGAAGGTGAGAGAAGAGGAGTTGATGTGAAGTAACATGCATGAATGATCAAAAGCATTGCTTAGACCCCAGGCCAAAGCCAAATTCTTAGCTATAGTCCAAAATGGGACATAATGAACCTGAAGAATAAGGTTCTTCAATAAGGTTGAAACTAATATAAGAATAACCTGCAATATAAACACCATTTTCAATGTGTCAGATCTAACCCAGCAAATTACAAGAGTTCCATATCCTCTACATTAGAATTTCCTCAAATATATTTAAAAGTTGAATCTTTGAAAGGCAACCCACATAATAAATCATATACCAGAATCCTAAAATTTGTATTTCCAATATGAATCGCCTTCTTGATGTATAAGTAGGAATATCTGGGCCCTGCCTCCTGATCTTCTCCCCCTCTCTCCATTCTGAAAAGTGCTCTGCACCTGACCACCATGAGGAATTTCATAAGAGCTTTGAGGACTTTTACTTCTACACCTGAAGGTTCTGTCTGGAGTTAGACTCATGAGCTAAGTGGATTGTGCTGTTCACCACCTACTCTAATGCTAAGCACACTTCCACCTCCAAAGGAACACCAGCTTGCACACACCTGGTGGACGGGTTGCTTATCCCCACTCCTGGTCTTTTGTGACCTGCCATTGGACTTCCTGTGGCAGATGGAAGGTCCTGGGAGGTGGAAAGATGGAGAGGGATGTACAAAGAAGCATGAGAGAGATTAAGATACTGAACTTCTTGCAACAATGAAGTGCCATCTAATCAAATTTTACCTTTGACTAGGAACTCTTTGGAGAGCCTTATTTGCTTTGTGGAGATCAAGAAACAATTTCAGTCTTTCATTGAGACAATAAGGCCACAGGCATAACAATGAATTTTCCTGTTCCAGAATCTCAAGATTTTCCCTTAGTAGTCAAAGTTGATAGATTCTACCACCGTATATTTACTTAAAGAAAGAAAATGGAGAGGAGAGGAGGGAGGGGAGGGGAGGGAAGGGGAGGGAAGGGAAGGGAAGGGAAGGGAAGGGAAGGGAAGGGAAGGGAAGGGAAGGGAAGGGAAGGGAAGGGAAGGGAAGGGAAGGGAAGGGAGAGAAAGAAAATAAAGAAAAGAAAAGAGGAGAAAATAAAATAAAGAAGAGCCAACAAAAGGAAAATCCCTGCTGACATTTCTTAGCCTTGTTTGACCAGCTTCCCTTCCTCTAGGCCACTGCTTTCTCTACTGGACTCCATGTGGTTTTCGGACGGTTGCCAATCTAGTCGTAGCATAAGCCAGGCCAGTCAGTGATTTCCCCTGATGTCTGATAAACTGCTGCCGCTGTTGCCTCTGTAATGACATAAACCTAGGCCTGTCTGTGGCTGTCCCCTCAAAATGAAGAAAAATTCATCAAAAATGTGAGAGAAAAAGGTTAATATACAAGAATAACATGGAAAATTACAGTGACTGGTGAGAGTCACTGGAAACACCAAGGCCATGTTGACAAGGCTATTACATTTGATCCTTTTTTCTTTTACATCTAAAGTAATTCGAGTTGGGATTACTTTTTTTCACTGTCTAAAAAAAAAAAAAGACTGTACCCTTTTATTTAATGATGTTTACTTTGAATTTATATTAGTTCACACACACACTCCGTCCATGCTTTTGTTCCGGCCCTCCGGTCCAGTATAAGAACCCATTGTGGCCCTCGAGTCAAAAAGTTTGCCCACCCCTGGTCTAGATAAAATATCTTGACTCATGTTTTCAGTTGATTTCTCTAAGACAATTTGAACTATGAGAATCCATTCAAGAATGCTGAGGAGTTATGATACTGAATGGCACAGATGGTAGGGAATTTAGAGTATGGGGTGGAGTGAGTGAGCACAGGCAAAATCTAAAAAATATACAAATATTTAAGTCAAGATGCTGTCCAAATTTAATATGGATGACATTGATGTGCATCAAAATGTAGATTATTGATTTGTGATGAGAAGTATTACTCCAGAATGCTGGGATTTGGCACTGGAGTTCTTGGGTGGCACACTGTGTATGTGGCTACTATGGAAACAATAAATTGATGTGGCTATTATGGCAACAGTGTAGAGGTTCCTCAAAGCATTAAAGCTGTGTGATCCAGAAAAAAAATACAAACATATAGAAGCTGTTAAGTGGGAATGTCCTCTTTTGGTGGGAGGGGAACATTTTGACAATAGGTCAGCAGCGAAACTAGGATCACCCACAATGACTTTCCAGTTGGCCTGTGTTTCTATTGATCCAACTCACTGGCTGATTCTGGGGACTGTCACTCTTTCTAAGCTGCCCACATCGAATCTGACCAATTGTGTGGAAATATTTTATAAAGCTTAAAGGGCCCATCAAAGGGCAAAATTCTGTTGCAGATTGCATGCAGGTAAGAGTTGAAATTTTTTAGAAACACACAAGACAAAATCTATTCTGGATAAATCTCCTTCTTGCCCACAAATATAACCATGATTTTATATCTAATGTTGTAGGCTGACCAAACAACATTTGCAGTTAGTTTTCTGTTAGACTATTGAGTATTATACATGGAAAGCTATAGCCATGATGTATTTCTTGACTTTCAGTTTTGCTTTGAATTTTCTAGATGGCTTCCTGAGTTTATTTAGGAATCTCAATTTTGGAGAGAAGTTAGAAGAATATGCATTTTAAAACCAGTATTTCTTTGTGTATTTTTCAACCATAACACTGTTATTACTAGTAGGGACAGAACAAGTTTCAGATTCCATATATGTTACATTTTATAAAAATATTCATTATGACATTTTGTGAAATTTTGTTATTCTTATTATATTTTACATGAATTTATTGACCAATGTATGACCTTATTTTTATTATTTTTTCTGTAACAATTCTTGTTCATGTATAATTTTTTTCACATTAGGACCCCTTCCCCTTCTTCATAGCAAAGAGCAGAAAATGCAGATACAAGCATGCACAGCATCATTCACTGTCTCAGATATCTCTCTCTGCATCTTGAAAACCCTATCATTGACATGTCTGTTAGAGAATTTATAAAACAGGTAATGTTTGTATTTATTCATGAGAAGAAAAATGATAGGCAACATAGCCTGCTGAATTAAAATTTTTATTTAAAAAGAAATCACAAAGGTTGCATTGCTAGTGTCCCAAAAGAATTCATATTTCTTAAGGAGACTATAGAAATAAAAACCTACTGAACCATTTTCTTTGCTGTACTCAGCAAAGAGGATATTCAACTAAAATTTAAGCAGTGCCCTGGCCGGTGTTGTTCAGTAGTTAGAGTGCCAGCCCATGCACTGATCGGTCATAGATTTGATTCTGGGTCAAGGGCACCTACCTGGGTTGCAGGTTCAACCCCAGCCCTGGTTGGGGCACATATAGAAAGCACCAATCAATGTGTCTCTCTCACATCAATGCTTCATTATCTTCTATCCCCTTCCCTCCCTCCCTTTCACTCTCTCTACAAATCCAAGGAAAAAATATCCTCAGGTGAGGATTAACAACAACATCAACAACAACAAAAACACAACTTAAGCAGTAAGAGAAATAAAAAAAACAGCATTATATTTAAATTGGGTATTTTGTCAAATATGTTTCAAAAGACACTTTTCATTCATTTATTCATTAAATTGTTTTTTGAATACATAGAAAAAATGCAAGGCAGTACATAGCTTTCTGACTATTTAAAAGCTGAGCACACCTCTGTAACTATTCCCCAGATCAAAAAGACAGAATCTTACCATAACCAGTAGTCCTCAATCCTTCAAGGCACTGTCCATTCCTGCAAGGGTTCCCTGGTTTCTAACACTGTTTATTAATGTCAGTTGTCTATGATATATATGAAATCTTACAGCTTGAACACTTTATATCTGGCTTCTTTCATTTACCATAATATTTATAACATTTATTTATTTTGTTTTATATAATTTTCAGTCTTGCTTCCAGGTGACATTTAGCAATGTCCAGAGACAATTTTGATTGTCACAGTTGGGGGAGAGATGCTATGGGCATCTGGTGTGCTGTGGGCAGTAATGCTGCTATATATCTTGCAACGTACATAACAGCCTCACAAAACAAATAGTCATCTCACCTAATCATCTAAGGGTTACACTGAGAAATCCGACTGTAATTAACTCTTCCCAGGAGTTAATTAATTTAAATTTATTTACCCTTTATTTACCCATTTTCCACTGATAAGCACATGAGCAGTTTCCAGATTGGAGATCTGTATTCTGAATAAAACTGCTATGAGACTTTATTATGTGTATTTTGGTGAACATATGAACGCACTTCTGTTGGATCTATGTTTAGAATTGAATGGTCATTCAATATTATTTATTCAGCACATGTGTTGAGGATATAGCAATGAAAAAAAATTAAAGAGAAAAAGACAATAAATGAATCTACTCCATAAAGTTTATATCCTGATAGAAAGACACATTCAACAAAATAAGTAATAAAATAATGTGTGGTTTGGTAGGTATAAAAGTTAGCGAGAAGTTAATTAGGAAAAGAAAATAGATTAGGTCAGAGGTGAAGGTGGTTGTAATTGAGAGAAAGTTTCCAGAGAAGGAGTTGCTGGAACCAATCAATATTAAATACTGAGTGGTAAGATTGAGTGGTGATGTGATATAAAAGACAGAAGCACCTTAGGGAAGGTGAATCTCAAGTCCAAAGGCCCAGCGATGGCGGACGTTCTGGAATGTTTGGAGGAGTAGACAGGACACCAAGGTGGCCAAGTGTGAGTAGGCAGGAGAGAGTAGTAAGAGATGAGGTCACAGACATGACTGGGGTTGATCAGATGTCTTGGCTCAGCATCAAAGGTAACTGGAGTAACAGACATACACTTGCTGAGTGTTGTTATGTTCATATTCCTTTTTTTCTATGTACTAATGACTCAATGCTATATTTTCAGGCATATATGATATAATCATGGAAAGAGTTTTTTTTAAAATCTTGTTTCTACAGATATATTACTTATTTTGATTATTGTTATTGTTTATATTGTAATTGTTGCTGCTGCTATATTTTCATTTTTAGGGATAATTCACAGTTTTCTGTAGACGAAGATCATTTTGTATTTTAGAAAGTGTACATGTTCCCCCAAAGACTACAGGAGGAGGCTCAAGCCCCACGGTCATCACCCAAAGCTGAAATTCTACTACCCCCTGAAGCTACCATGTGTGTGATCATGTATCCAAAAACTTTACTGTGCCTTATTAGCATTGAATGAAAAGGTCACTAAACCACTTAGCAGCCCTTCACCTATGTACAATTGCACATTAAATTATTTTCCCCAAAATATTAAGCAGGTACTATAGATATTAATATTACATAATACATTCTATGTATAATCATACATTAAATTATGTTCCCCATGAATATTAAGCAGGTAAATAGGTATTAATATTACATTGTACATTTTTTTTTGAGGTGGGGGGAGTTCTGGGCACAGCACCCACAGGTCCACCGCAGTAGCTCACCATCGACATTGTACATTTTATGCATAATCGTACATACCCCATACAGTTAAATAAATCCTAGTCAACATGGATATCCACAACCGTCAAAAATCTCTTAGTCTACCTACCTTGGTGAAACCAACAACCCTCCCAACACGTATCCCTCTTCTCGCCCTAGGCCCATTAATTGTGGGGGTTTCTAAACTGGGTCCTAAAAGGCATCTGGTTCTTACTTCAGGGCCATCACACCTACAATCACCTATTCGTTCCCCTTAAATAAGACATCTCGGTGGAATCATGACTAATCAGCCCATGCCCCAGCATAACTGTGATGTCCTACCCTTGGTATTTTTAAAATTTTAGGTGTGCTTGGACTCAGCCATGGCCACTCTTTGAAAGGAGATTGAAATTAAAAGGTCGTGAATTAAAACATTTACACACACTTCTTTCTGATCCCAATTGGCCACCATTAAGCCATCCACATAAATGACAATGCCGCATTAACAGTGGCAGGTTGTATACAATTAGGAGAGATTCTGTGATAATGCTGCTATACATGATGAATACATTCAGCAGGAGACTTATGCTCTATTTTGAGAACTAGCAAAGTTCCACCTCATGAGCTATTCTATGCTTCCTGTCCTCCTCCATTTCCATTTTCTGCTTGTTTTGTTGTTGTTTTTTAATGTTTTTTTGTTTTGTTTATTTTGTTTTTTTACCATTAAGAGCTATTAATCCTTTATGTTTTATTTGATTTTTATTTTCCCCTCTCTCTATGTCCCTGCTGATTTTCCATTAGATGTAAAGTACTTTTGTCCTTTGTAGCTGAAATTTTATATCAAGCAAAATGCAGAAAATATATACAATCAGCTGTCCTTAAAAAACACACAACTTATTTTTCTAAGTAAAAAATTTTGCATCCTGGGGCATCTTCTAAAAGTGTCCTATTGGATTTTATTCTCAAGCCTTATCAGCATTCTTATCAATATTGCACTTAGGGTACGTATACCAATCATAAGCAACAAAGTTGTCCCAGCTAGTAAAGGTTTCAGCTCTTGCTGGTTGGGTAGTTTTGAGTATGTAGTCCAAGAACTGTTTAATATCCTCTTAGTGAGAAAAAGCCCTCTTTGATGTTACTATTATAATTATTGCAGGCATCAGAAAATATGACCATATATGATGGCACACTTACTAAATGTGTGTGTCCTGCATGCTCCATTGACAAATCTTTCTCTCTCTCCTCAGGCCACCTTGTTCCCTGAGATACGTAATATTGAAATCAGGCCAATTAAAACCACTACAACGGCCTCTAAGTGTTTAAGTGAAAGGAAGAGTCACACATCTCTTACTTTAAATCAAAAACTAAAAATGATTAAGCTTAGTGAGGAAGACATGTTGAAAGTCAAGAGAGACTGAAAGCGAGGTCTCTTGGACCAAATGGTTAACCAAGTTGTGAATGAAAAAAAAAAGTGTTGAAGGAAAAGTTGTTAGATCCTTGGAGTCCTGGAAAAACATGGAAAAGCTACAAAACAAAGTTCACGTAACTGTGATACCTTAACTTACTTGTGAAGTTAGGCAACTCTATAGAAAAAAAGCAAAATGCCATTTTAAGCTCCTCTCAAAAAAATACATATAAACCCAATTTTATATAAATCACAGAAACACTTCTCTCCTGTGCTATTGTATGAAGGAGAGTCACCGACATCTCTCTTTCCTGGATTCATGCTCTGTTTGATCCCCAGAACACACAGCACTCCAGGACACTTTCTGAATATTTGAAGTTTCTGCTACCAAGGTGAACATATCTTTTGAGAACTTTAATAGTCTTTCTCGTATGTGCAAGTGGCTGTTAAGTCTCCTTCATGCACATAAAGCCTACAAGTGAGGATAAACACACATACAGACATATGGGCATTTAAGATTTTCCAAATTAAGTAACTATCACAAAAAGAGTAAGGAAAAATAATAGAGGGTGTTTTTTATGTCTGCACAATTTACTCCTTTTTATTTAGTACTAATGCATGTTAACTAGTTATAAAAAAATCTAAAACTAACACTTATATTTGGCTAACAATATCTTAATAGATTTTGTTCCTACTTTTCAGTACTTCTCTCAACTTAAAGTCATTCTCAAAGTCGTTGGTTGTGTTGAAGATAAATGCCCTAAGTGCAATATTGATAAGAATGCTGAGTAAGACCAGAGAATGAAATCCAACAGAACACTTCTATAAGACACCGCAGGATGCAACTATTTTGCTCAGAAAAATAAGTTGTGTGTTTTTAAAGGACAGCGGATGTACATATTTTCTGCATTTTGCTTGATGTAAAATTTCAGCAACAAAGGACAAAACTAAGGAGTTAGTATTATATTCAGGCACGCAAAAGGACCTATTGTTGTCAAGAAGAAAGTTATTTAGTTTATCCTATCTTTGCAAAGCAGAGGTAACACTCTACAAAAATGAGAACTTTCATCATTTGTACAAAATGCTCCAGAACTGTACTATAGTTGCTTTATCAACCCAACTAGTTTATAAGCAGCTGGAAGGGAAGAGATACGCTTGTTTTCTAAGCCATTCTCACCTCCCACTTCTGTCCCACAATATCTAATAAAATAGGCACACAAAAACATGCTATTTTAGTGAAAGGGAAAAAAGGCTGTATTTCTTTTAAAATATAAAATCCCATTGTAATTGTCTGTTCCTTTCATATGATCCAGGCTTCCCAATCTTTCTATCTGCAAAATAGTGGATGCAGGTTATTCAGCATTTGATTGAATAAACCTTACTGATTAGCATTTTCTCCCTTTAAAGTGCAGTAAAATAATAATTCTTGTTCTGAATAGTAAGCACAGGCTTGCACTAGATTCAAAAGCCCCTTAGGTATCATTAAAAGGATGTTATATTTCTGCCTGTTTTGGAAGCATATCGCAACTTTCCATTAAATAGGCAATTGATTAATCAAAACAATCAATTTTTTGATAATTTCAGAAAAATGGGTCAATTGTCATTTTCTTTGTGATCTTTCTGTAATCAACTTGGAGAAGGATTGTATGACTGCAAGGGTCCTCTAACTGATCCCACTGGCATTGCCATACCACAAAATATGTTACATTACAGAGCTGTGACCCAGTCATGCACTCTGCCCATCGGAAAACCTTTTCTAGCTCCTTAAATCTGTAGAACCTAATTCATTATGTTGACACTTTAATTAAGATACCTAAGTAAAATGATGGTACTATGGGGCAACAGCCACAAGAACAACAATAACAAAATCCTCTCAAACGGTATTTTTTTCCTCTGATTATTACCCAGGTTTCACTGTTACAGATTTTTAAAAATATATTTTTATTTAGTTCAGAGAGGAAGGGAGAGGGAGAGAGAGATAGAAACATCAATGATGAGAGAATCCCCCCTACTGGGGATAGAGTCCGCAACCTGGGTATGTGCCCTGACAGAAAATTGAATCGTGACCACCTGGTTCATAGGTTGATGCTCAACCACTGAGCCATGCTAGCTGGGCACTTTTACAAATTTTAACAATCACAACCACATTTTCTTACTGATCTATGCATAGGGCCACCAGTTGGTAATTTGCATTTCCCTTTTCTTGATTTATGTTTTATTTACCATCCCCTTACTTGGTGCATAAACTACATTACATTGTTTTATTCCATTTATACTGGACATGCTGATGGAAGTGACATTGGAGAACAAGGAAAATGGACTTAAGAGTGAATATTTTCCAAGATGTTAAGAACATCCAGATCCTTCTTTAAACAAATTTAATGATTTTATGTGAATGTTACATGTCACTAGATATTAAGAAGCCAAAGAAAGATAATACGATTTCTGATTTCAAGAAGGAGCAATATTTCTTTACTGACGATGATTTTCCTGTTGGCATGTGTATTTCTCCAATTTCTCACATGATTCTGGCCATTTTGATTAGGGCTCTTCTGCTCATGATAAATAGAAATGCATTCAAGCTCATTAAGTAAAGAGAGATTGATTAAAAGATTGTGAGAGCAGATACAAGAAAATCTTCTGAAGACATAAGAGTCAGATCATATAGAAACTAAAATTAACTCAAAGGACAAGAACTCTTGTTTCTCAAACCTGCATGATGTCTGACATATATATATATATATATGTATATGAGTATATATATATATATATATATATATATATATATATATATATATATATATATACTCATCTTTACTCTCATATCAATCAGATATCTAATGGCATACATTTGTACATAGTCATCATGACTTGCTCAACTGGTAAGCATCAGACCTATCAATTTCATCCCTCATAGTTATCTAGAAGCCTCTCAGCTTCATCAACTTAATCTTGAAACAGGAATTGGTTAAACAAATGTACTTTTTTTTTTCCCTCTCTGAGCATTAAGTCATTGATGAGCATATGGATGATTTCCCTGAGTTAGTTTCCTAACTATTTTCCAACAAATCATGTTCTAGTGGCTGCATTTGCTAAAAAAGATGATATTTCCTCTTCTCACAGGCTGTAGGTTTGCAGATAATACATTTCGTAGATTGAGAATGGAGAAAAATAGGTATCCAAAACATATATTGTTTTAGTTTATATTAAAAGATCAATATTTAAGTAACAAGAGAGAATTATAATGAACCATGAAAGTAGACAAAAATATAATTCACTGGAATTTGTGATTTAAATGAATCTGGAAACATTGAGAGAGAGACAGAGAGAGAGAGAGATTTATTTTTATGTATTTTTTAATTGATTTCAGAGAGGAAGGAAGAGGAAGAGAGAGATAGAAACATCAATGATGGGAAAGAATCATTGATCTCCTGCCTCTTCCAGGACCCCTACCTGGGATCAAGCCCACAACCCAGGCATGTACCCTGGATGGGAATCAAACCAGTGACCTCCTGGTTCATGGGTCGATGCTCAACCATTGAGCAACACCAGCTGGACAAGAGAAAGATAGAATAACTTACACATTTTGGACTACTGTGCGTTTGATGATACCATTCACCAAGATAAAGAATACATAGGAATAAACAAATTTAGGGAATAAATTTAAAATGATGCTGAGTTCAATTTTGAGAATACTTATTTTTAATGATTGTAGAATGTTGAAATAAGGATATCTTACTTGCAGTTGCATAAAACATAGATTGAATTTTTAAAATCTGGGCTAAAAACAATTACTTTGCCTATCAGAGTGAAATTAAAAAGCTGTATAATTTTAAAATATAACCTGAATAATAGTAGAAATTAAAGAGTGTAGAGGGCAAGAAGAGGCCCAAGGACAAAATGTTAAGAGTTGGCCAAAAAATGACATCCTACAAAAATACTATGAATGAATGATAAGAATTAGGCAGATGAATAGGAAATAATGATAGATTAAAATTGATTGTAATATTTAAGAGTACATTTAGTTGCACAAAAAAGAAGACATCAAAGTAACAGTAGCTTTAAAACAACATAAGTTTATTTACTACATAAAGAATTCGAGAGATCCAGATAGTGACCAGGTTACAGAATAGATGTTTTCTAAATGCCAATTTCTTAGTGAAAATGAGAAACTCCCTATGTTCAAGGTATCTAGGTAGAAAAGGATAGTTTGGAAGCCTTACTCTCTATTAAGAATTTTGAGAAATTTTTACTGTGTGTGAGCTTCTACTTCAGTGGGAAATGTCAAAAACATTTTAAAAGCACTGTACTTAATAGAGCACAAAATATTGTTAGAATGTGACTTGTTGATTTTTAAGACAACTCAAGGCCTAATCTTTATATTTCATTGTAAACATTGATCTATCTTGAGGTGACAAATATGTTACTGTTTACCTAGAATGAATTCCTCTTCTCAACCATGTAGTAACCACTACTCATTCTTCCAGAAGCTGCTGAAATGCCACCTCTTCTATGAGAACTTTCCAGAGCCTACTTTCCATGGATGAATATTTATTCATTTCCCATGGCCCTTTGTCATCTTTCAATCTTCTTCTTTAGATCTTAGGTTCCATAAGGTAGGAACCTGACTTCTGTATCATTGTCACCCCAAGTGTCCATTTGCAAATGCCAGTGTTGAATAAGGGATTTAGGATTCTGTCTCACATCTCTCACTAACACAGATAAGTTACTTCTCCCAGGTTTTACCCTCATATAAACATTGGGATTTGATCAATTGCATTTCTCTTTTACATGTTATATTTGACTCATTTTTCTATAAGGCTGATCAGTTATCCAGGTAGAATCAATTTAATAATTTCTCTGCAACTAAAGTTATCATCATACATGTGCAGATTAAATGATGCTATTCAATGTCATCCTTTTGTTTAATAAATATATATATATATATATATATATATATATATATATATATGAGAGGAAGAGATAAACATCGATGAGAGAGAAACATCACCAATTGACTGCCTCCTGCACATTCCCTATTGGTTATCAAGCCTGCAACTGGGCACGTACCCTGACAGGGAATCAAACTAGAGACCTCCTGGCTCATGGCTCAATGCTCAACCATTGAGCCACACTGGCTGGGTTTAATGCCAACCTTTAAAACAAAAAAAAAACTGAAGATAGAAAACTCAACTTTACTTGAATTTTTTTTTAAAAAAGAAGAAAGCTGTGAATATGAGTTTTACATAACTCCAATAAAACAACCTCAGGCCTGAAATTAATAGGAGTCATTTGGGTTGCACTACCTGGGAAAATGCCACAAAAAATCAAGTAGTAATTCTGGGAAGTAATTCTTTCTTACAAACTATAAACCTCATTCTTACTGTGAAGCTTTAAGTTACTGCCAACAAACTAGCAGCTCTGTCTACCGTTGTTGATTTTCAGATATATTTGAAATGGCAGACTTGCCTCCTACTCAACTAGGAAAGTAAAATGCCATCTTATTGTGGCAGAAGGAAAGGGCATCTTTCACTTAAAAACAAAGAGAATTTTTCAATATAAAAGGAAGATATGAAAAAATGTAAACAAGATAAACACTGCAATTTTGAAGTCTAACACATTGTATCTTTATAAGCAAAGCAACTTCTAGTTTAAACAATGCTTCTGTGAAAAAGACAAGATTGAAGTCTGAAGGATATAAAGAGGAGTGAAACAGATTTTTTTCCAAAGAACTCATGAACTAGCTAGAGAGATGGATAAATCTCTATCATTAGAAAATCATAAAGGCAAAATAGGGTGCTTTTTGAACCTGGAAAAGAGAAATCTAGCTGAATTTGGGACTGTGGGGAGAATTTTCCCAGCGGATAATATGAGATGCATCAAATAAAAGACTAGGAAATGACAGGTAATTCAGATTCATTAATAATATACTGTGGACTTGTACTTTGGCTCATTGCTGTTCTAATGCCTTAATATAAGTTACCCGAATTTACAACATTTTGAGGTAGGCATTGCAATTATCCTTTTCATAAACGGACAAACAGTTTAAATAACTTGCCTAAGACACCAGCTAATAATGTATGGAGGTTCCCCAATCTATGCTATATAATAGGCCATCTTCTAGGGACTCTGCACCAGACCCCTGGGTGTGGTGAACACACAGTACAATATACAGGTGATGTATTATAAAATTGTATGCCTGAAACCTTTATAATTGTATTAACCAATGTCACCTCAATAAATTCCATTTTAAAAAGGTGAAAACATGTGGATCTTAGAACTGATTCTATGGTAAAGAAAAGTGAGGCTCAGAGAGGTTATGGTAAGTGTCTTCCCAAGGTAACATAGGGTATGTTAAGAATTAGTAAGTACAACGGTTAGCTGACTCCATAATTGGCGTTTTCACCACTGTAGCAACAGTTCACAAAGTAACCAGACAGCAGCATCAGTGTTATCTTGAAACTTGGTAGAACTGAAAACTAGTAGGCACCACCAAAGACCTTTGGAACCGGAATAGCTGAGAAATCCAGCAATCTGTGTTGTTACAAGACTGCTAGATGCTTCTGAAACCAGGTAAAGTGTAAGAACTACTGGCTAGAGTCCACTGCCTCCTTTGGAGAGAATCACTGATTACTGTTGCTTGCACTACAAAAGCACGATATGCTTATTACTTTCATATAGAAAACCTGGAAGAAATATGAAAGCAAATAAATGAAGGAAGCCCATAAAATTAAAAAAATAAAGTGGTAATTAATTTGGATATGTGTCCTTCTTCTCTCTCTTATATACCTGCAATATCTTGGCCACCCAGTAGAATGGGGCTAGGGGCAGAATAAAAATACATTTTGCTTAATCCAGATTGCACACTCTTCCATTAAGTTAATGACATGGTAAAGAAGACTATTTTTCCATTTTTGTAATATTTATCTTCTGTATGCATGTTGACTCTTTTCTCAGGCTCTATTTTTTTGTTTTATTTAAGAAAAATGAGATATTTCCCTTTCATATCATCTACAAAACTTCTTACATCATTTTTATAAAACTTCTATCATAAGTTTTTAGTATATACTCCCTAAACCCTTTTATTTATTTGTCTTATTTAGTTTAAACAAATATCATTCAGAGTTTCAAAAGTTACTTTTACAAATTAAATATAGCATTGTTCAATGTAGTTTACTTTTTAAAAATAAGAACATAATTGAGAGTTAACAAAAGTATAATTCTTCTTGTAATTCTTTTTCTCCACATTTTGGGTTAAATGCAAAAGCTGTAACCATTGGTTGACACATGGTTTGGTGTGTAGAGCATAAACATATTGTGGGAAGACACCTGGAGAAACCCATCCATTATGGAATTAGGTTAATGGGTGAGTAGCAATTAATCCAAATTAAAACTGACCTAAGAGCTAATATCACCAAGGACTAGATGAAGATTAAGTTTGATATCTCTAAATAATCAGAATTAATGAGGATCTGCTCCAGTCAGTAGAGAGATTGGAGTTAACTGGTGTCATGTTTATGGAGTCCAGTTTTATGTCTGTTTCAGCCATGGTTGTTAGTCAACAGCAAAGGGTACAGAATAATTTCCTTTTAAGAGGGTGTTTTTACTTAGGTTTCAGAGCTTCAAATAAATGTATGAAGATTAATCAAATTAGTTAGGCATTCTTTATCACTGTCCATTTCCCGGGGAGGTGGGGTATAGTACTTAAGTGAGCACATCAATACTCGAGATCTTGGGCTCCGTATTTCAGATAGCAGAATCAGGCTGGTCAAACTAAATGCACTTCTCAGTGATTAGCAGGAATAAGGTGCATAATGTACTTCATTGTTCAATATTGACACAGGATCAGACATTTAAAGAACGAATATGTGTAGTGGAGTAGACAGGTGAAAAGCCAAGGTGAACACTAACAAAACTTCTTTGGCTGAATTTCCAGTCTGAACTTCTTCAGTGCCCTTCTGAATCCATAGTTAATTGATTTGGGGAACAGAAGAAGAGGCAGCCACTGGTAATGACTTAAGGGGATTAGGGTGAGGTTCTTATTCTAAAGTAAACATAGCTCCAACATTTGGCAAATAGCAAATCTAAGAGACTAGGAAAGGGTCAAGGCCATTATCATCTAGTGACTGAATAAGATGTCTTAACTACAAAACCCAGAGCAATTGTTTAAAGCTGGGGAGATGGAGGCAGGTTTAACAAAAAAATATATATAAGGGCAGCGAGCAGGTGGCAGTGAAGCAAAATGCATGCTTTCAATAAAGTATTATGGGCCCAAAAGTAAATGACTAATGGACTGGAACTTGGAAGGAGTTATTTTTTGAGGCCCAAGGGTGTGAAATAACTGGTGAAATGAGCCCTGAGTCAAGATCACATTTTGTGTTTATGCATAAAAATAAGAATATCCCACCCTGCAGGTATGTCTCAGTGTTTGAGAGCTGACGTAAGAAACAGGAAGTCATGATTAAATTCCCAATTAGGGCACATGCCTGGGTTGAGGGCTGATCTCCAGTAGAGGTTGTACAGGAAGCCAGTGATCAATGATTCTCTCTCATCATTGATGTTTCTATCTCTTTGCCTCTCCCTTCCTCTCTGAAATTAATAAATAATATATTTTAAATAAGTAATATCCCTTCAACCCATTATTTTCCTAAGTAAAGATTAGGTTCCTATAAATAAGTAAGAAAATACTTATTTTATTTTGTAGATGCTTAATTCCATGGTACATTTTCTCTGCATAAGGGAGTGCTATGAGAAGTAGCCAAAGTGTGATGACAACAGTAGAATATATTGTGGACTTGTACTAGGAAAGCAAATATGGGCCTTTAGATTACATATTCTAGTACTAGAGGCCCAGTGCATGAAATTCATGCATGGCGTGTGTGTGTGTGTGTGTGTGTGTGTGTGTGTGTGTGTGTGTGTGTGTGTGTGAGGTGTGTCCCTCAGCCTGGCCTGCACCCTCTCCAATCTGGGAGGGATCAGGCCTAAACTGGCAGTCAGACATCCCTCTCACAATCCAGGACCACTGGCTCCTAACCGCTCACCTTCCTGTCAGCCTGATCACCCCCTAACTGCCCTCCTCTGCTGGCCTGATTGCTGCCTAACTGCTCTCCCCTGCCGGCCTGATCCCCCTACTGCTCTCCCCTGCTGGTCTGATTGCCCCTAACCGCCTCTGCCTTGGCCCCTGCCACTGTAGCTTTGTCTGGAAGATGTCTGATCTAATTAGCATATTTCCCTTTTATTAGTATAGATAACCTGCTATATTTTACACCAGCTGAGTTCAGTTCTACTTTGTTCTCTTTATATATCATTTCCTCACCCAGGAGCACCGTGTTACCAAACCTGTCAATGAACTCCCTTGGGCCTCTACACCAAGCATGAGATGCACTCACATTATCTCACTCTCAGCCAGGGAATGGGATGGCCACGTAAGCAGGGAAAATACTGAGCAGTCTTATTTTACTAAGTTTCTGCCAGTTAGCACATGCTCACGTAAATTACAGTTATTTTTATCACTCATGTGAATAGCAATAAGCTAATTTGTTGTCAGGTCTATCACTCTAGTCAAACTTAAAAATTTCTATTCAATTTTATCTCACATTCATGGAAATTATTGTTATTGATTATCATTATTATTATTTTGATTTGGAAATTCAATATTTTCTTATTCATTTTGGTTACTTGATCATCACTAGTCAGATCTCTAGATTTATATTCTACTCATTCCATGTTCATTCAGTCATTTATTATACACCTTTTGGAGTTCTATGTGCCTTGTTCTATGCAGCATACTTTTAGAGATGTAAATGTTAATCAGAAGTTAAAATGCATAATATGAACCAAAATTATTTAATATCAGATCTAAAGTTATAGATAAAATCAATAGTATAAGTTATAACTTTACCCTTCAAAAGAAGAACCATGGGCATTTCCATTAAAAAATGGATATAAATTTTAGGAACTAAAATGAGTAATATAATTCAGAAATGTAGAAATGGGATATAAAAATAACTTGGTTGCTAGATAACAGGAAGGAAACATGCAAGACCTATTGAGGGAGTAGTTAGTTATTGATTCATTTACAAGAGAAAGGAAAATAACTTTGGAATAATTCTTAAAGGCTTAACTAAATCAGGAATCTTTCAGGGAAATAAGACTTGTTTATTAGCATTTGTGGATATATTCCTCCTATTGAAAGCAGGCTTCAAAACTGTGTTTGATCAGCAGAAACAACATAGGAGTTCCTGACGTGGTCAAAACTTCAGTGTGACCCAGGCAGCTAATTTATTTTTCTTAGGTTCCTCAATTTCTTAACATACAGCAACTGTTAAAAACACTGACTGAAATATTCATGCCTTTATTATTATTATTATTATGGCTGTTTTAATGGGTTCCCTCATAAATCAAATACATAAAGGAGACTAAGGGGGGAGAAAGATTTACTTTTATTTTATTTCTCTTCTAAGAAAATAGTAATACCATACTTAGGAAAAAAGAGTGAATTTTTTAAAACTTGGAACTATCTAAAGAGAAAGAAATCCTTTATATATATAACTAGAGGCCCCATGCACTGGTAGGGTCCTCTAGCAGCTGCCGGCTGCTGGCAGGGGCCTCCCTCTATTCCCCCTAGCCGGCACTGCTGCCTGGTCAAACTCCCAGAGGAACTCCTGGTCAAGGGGACAATTTGCATACTACGCTTTTATTATATAGGATATTTATAAGTATTCTAGCAGCTTCTAATAATAATTCTTTATTTTCAAATTTCTGAGCAATTTTGAAGTTAGTCTCAGTTGGAAAAAATAACTCCATAGATATCACTTGCATGTGCCTTTATTATTGCCTAATAATTCTACATGACACATTAAAATGCCTTTTGCACCTAGCAACAATGTATAAGTCTCATTACATCGTATTCTAGATTCATTCATGAAGGCTCTTCGTGGAGGTGGGAAAGACATTTAATATTAAGTCCACAAAGAGAGAGAGAGAGAGAGAGAGAGAGAGAGAGAGAGAGAGAGAGAGAGAGGATAAAACGGAAGGAGGGAAACAGAGACAAAACAAAATAAGCAACTGTCAGATCAAATAAACTCATGGATCAGATAAAATAAGGAATTTAGACTCCATGTCAACAGAAAGAAAAATTATACATGGATGCACTTTCCAGCAGTCTGTTCTGAAACTGCTATATAGTAACAATTGACTTATAAAATATGAGTACTGCCCTTTTCATCTTAAAATAAATTATGCCACTTATGGGTAAGATATCAAAAACATTGGGAGAAGAAAAGTAATCTATTTCTTGTGACTTCTTATCACATATTTCACATGATAAGATTCATTAGAGTCACAGGCACACTTCATTCTCCTTCTCCCCTGGCAGGAGAAATGGCACATCAAATTGGTGAACTGAGGAGAGAAACTCAGCTTTGTGGTTCATCATTGTCTTCTTCTTTTTAAATTTTTAAACTTTTTTTTTTTCATTTTCTTGGTATCCTGCTGTACAAGAGAAGGAAGCCAACAGTCTCACCTGCTCCCAGCCCCACATTAAGGTTCCTGGGGCATCTCCTTTGTTTTGGGAAGTAGGCTGAGTTCAGGAAGTGGTAACAGGCCCTTTGGTGAGGCTTAGCTCACGCCCTCCCATTTAGCCCCGATAGTGACACAAGTCAAATTATGATCTCTGATGACCTAACTCCTACCTCCTGAATTAATTTCAATCATGTCTCTGTTTTCATAAGATCCCTCTATATTCTAAACAGTGAACACATACTTTTCAGCTTTTGACACCTTCCGTGGGGAGCATATTCACAGCAATTTTAGCACATGTTTCTTGCCAATTTATAAATTTTGGATACAAGGAATTTCTAAGGATACCATTGTAATTACCCCAATTATTAATTACTTAACGGGAAAGGAGCAAAGGGAAGGACAGATGATATAAGCACGTCATTTGTGCCAGAAAGCTGCAGTTTAACACTCTCTAGGTCTGTATTCTGCAGATCCTGGGGGAAGGGTCTGCACAAAGAAAGAATAGAAGCATGCCCAGTGAAATCAATAGTCTAGGTGACACAGAGGGGGACTTGACTGTCAGTCATACCTGGGAACAGGGCACTGGCCAGAGTTGTCCTGTAGGCATGGCCACTGCAAAGGGGAAGATTTTCTATTTAGGCTCCTAAACAGCAGAAGCAGTCCACAACCAAATGTAATGCATATAAGGGAAGATTTTTAAATTTTTAAATGAAAATAATACTTATTGTATTTTTAAATATTTTAAAAATATATTAAAGTTTTTTAAATAAAAATAATACGTTTTATTTTATTTTTTAAATATTTTTATTGATTTCACAGAGGAAGAGAGAGGGAGAAAGAAATAGAATCATCAATGATGAGAATCATTTGTCGGCTGCCTCCTGCATGCCCCACTCTAGGGAGAGAGCCTGCAACCCAGGCATATGCCCTGACCGGGAATTGAACCGTGACCTCCTGCTCATAGGTTGACGCTCAATAACTGAGCTATGCTGGCCGGGCTTAAACAAAATTTTAAATGTGCTTTTATTGATTTTAGAGAGAGAGAGAGGAAAGGAACAAGAGAGCTACACCCAATCAACTGAGCCACACAGGCTAGGGCAGCATTATTTTTAAATAGTATTTTTAAATAATGTGTCTCCAATTTATAACAAGGATAAGAAAATGTGATCCACAAGGCAGCATGTTGTTGAACAAATAGTGTTATTCTTTTACAATTAACTTTGCACACAGGTTTCATAAGCTTTTTCCACATTGTGAATACGATTGCTTTTTTTAAATAACTGCTTGTGAACAGCTTCCATAATGACAGACTAATACATGCTCAATACAAAAATAATTACAGCATACCCTGGATTTTAGCTGTTTTGAGTTTTTTTAAACAATGATAATTCAATTCCTGTTTAAAACATTTGTCTTAGCGTGAATACTAGATCAGTAATGTTGGAAATATTGGAAATAATGGAATACTGAAAAGCTTTGAAAACTTTGCAAATGATTCATTTTGTTTCTGTTAAACTTTATTATTTGTAAGGAAAGAAAAATGAGAATTGTAATTTCCTAATTTTGTCACATGAAGTACTTTTGGGAGAAAGTTAAACACTTGGAGAGCTATCGCTATAGCCTTTCTGCCCATCCTTCTGGATGTAACTTGCATCCCACCTTTGATCATAAATTGACAGATAAAGCTTTCATGAGATACGGGTCACCTCTCAGTGAGGCTGTAAAAGCAGCCTGGTTTCCTCCATGGGCATAGAGCTATAGCTGTCAGTCAGTCATCATGCAACATTTAACTAGTAAACTCCTCTACATCTTCTTCATGTCTGTCAAAAATAAAGAAATAAATCCTCGCATAGTGAGTGCTGTCAGAACACTGGGATGGGAGCAACCTTCTCGGTTGTGATGAAAGGGAATGTGTGTAGATGGAGTTCTGTGCCTTTAGCGTGGTCTTGCTGGAGGGCTCCAGCTCGCTGCCTGGGCTGTTCCTCCTGGCTCTGGGAGGTACTACATGGTCAGGAGGCCCTGCCCTGATCAGGAGCTCTAGCAGGTCCTAACTGCTACTCAAGTCCAGGCTGCTTCACTGCCCACTTTTTGGGGCTGGTCAGAACGCAGTGCCCACAAAGTCAAACTCCACACGTGTTGATAAACAGACTCATTCCATACTGCCAGGTCCGCAACAAAAGGAACCAGGACAAGAGCTATTGTGGAAATTTAAGAAATTTTATTACATTTTCTCACAGTGGGCTGAGACCAGTATATCAGTGTCAGCCCCAAGGCGGGTGGTTAGATTCTCTTAAATAGGGTAAAAGTATGCAATATAGGGTCGGGATGTGGGTGAGCCAGTCTGTTAAGCAGAAGGGAGGGCATGAGTCTGTCATTGGCGTCAAGAGAGGAGAGTGCAGAGGTTGGTCAAGCGAAGGGGCATTCATCTTATCTTGCTTCTGCAGGCGTCAGCCGTCTGCTCCAGCTATGGGGAAAAGCTTATAACAATATACATTTCCGAAAACATGTGCAAGCAGGAGAGACTAAGGGTAGTTTATCCTAACACATACTTTCACAATTGGTTTCCCCCTGAAAATGCTCAGGTTTTAAATTTTGGGGTACATTTGAGTTTGTCTCCTCCTTAGATGGCTTTCTAGCATGTAGTTATAATGCAACCAAGCCAATCGACCCAATTCATTAAGGGATATGGATGCCTTCGAGCAGAGATGTCAAGTTATCTTTGAGGCAGTGCCCTTCACCAAAGTCTCACCTGGCCTTCACCAAAGTCTCACCTGGCCAAGTTCCATGCCTGGCACCTGTAGCCATGCTGCCTCTGGGCTTGGGGGATTCGCAGCAAGGAGGGGCTGTCCCTCAGCTGCCTCACTTGCTCCTGGCCAAGAATTGAACCTTTGCTCTTAACTCCTGCAACCAGATGAAGACCTCCTCTGCTACTCAGAAATACTCATCAACAGAACTAAGTACCTTTTCCGTTGGTATTTATTTACAGTATTTTTTTAATCTCCTTGTTACAGTAAAGAAAAGGTTTACTTTAACCAGGCACCAGTTCAGCTTGTGTCAAGACCCAATCAAAGGATTGATTTCACTGGTGATTTTAATGTGCTCCTTTCCTATACACGATACTAAAAACTAATTGATCATTTTAAAAAATGTTCTTAGTGACAGACATGTTAATTATTATCATTTTTCCCTATTGCAAATTCTCTCAGAATAGTTGTTTTTGCGATTCCTCTACTTTTTTTAGTAAATGAGGCAAGGTTTTAAAGTGTTTGATTTTTTTTATTGAGAAATAATTGACATAATTAAATTATATTTTGAAACATAACTAAAATATATTTTTAAGGTGTCTCCTACATCGACTCATGACTGAACCAAGTGTTTTTAATAGAATAGCAAAGTAAAACAATCCCCCTCCCCTTTTTAATTACCTCTTTGGTACAGCTGATAAGGCAAATTGGTCACAGTCAATTAATTGCCACAGGCTAGTGGATTTCATATTTGATTGTTTATTGGAATTACCAGGGGAGATTTTCACCCTCCCCCTGAGGCCCAGGAAAAACCTCAGACCAATGAAATGAGAATCCCTGGGTGTAGGTTCTGGCTTTCAGTGATTTTTATGGCTTCTCCAGTGACTCAGTGTGCAGACAATTTCAAAATCACCATGCTATTATTTTCTAAATCTCAAATCTCATCCAGGGGATAAGTAGGTGTGTGTGTGTGTGTGTGTGTGTGTGTGTTCAATAATTTTATCCTCCACCTCCCAATATTCTTGACATTGCAACTCATGTAGTATAAGTTTTAAAATTTTGCTTGTTGAAATATATATACTAGAGGCCAGATGCATGAAATTCATGCAAGGGTCTCAACCCTCAGGGCCCTGTCCCTTGCCCACTGGTCATTCCAGAAGGTTGTTTGGCCATATGGTCTAATTATCATATTAGCTCTTTATCATACAGGATATAAGTTTTGGAAAAGAGCAGGTGGGCAAGAAATTGTGGATACCTGTGAGTACATTATTTCCCAAATCACAATTGGGTAACTAACATCTATGAACCATTAGGAAGAGATGGAGAAGGGGGAGAAGAAGTTCACAGTACAGAAACACGACTATCAGCCAACTGATCAAGGTTAACATCTACAATTAAGTCATATTGATGTGATAAGATTAAAATAAAATTTATCTCTGTGGTCTTTCTCTCCAAAACACATAAGCCAGGTATAACCATGGAAATTTTGTTTTAATTAGAAAAATTTCAATAAGAAGACATTCCACAAATTATTTTACCCAACATAGTTCCTCAAAATGGTCAAGGTCATCAGAAGCAAGAAAAGTATGAGGAATTGACACAACTAAGAGGAATATAAAGAGACTTTATGAATAAATAATAATTCCATATTCTGAATAGGATCCTAAGCAAGAAAATGGACATTGGGTGAGAACTAATGTCATCTAAGTAAACCATGGATATCAGTTAATAACACTGCATCATTGATATTTAATTAATTATCACAAATATTCCATGCTAATATAAGATGGTACTATGACAAATCTCTGTATTATCCTTCCAATTTTTAGTACATCTATAACCTTTATAAAATAGAAAGTTTATTTAATAAAAGGAGAGATGGCCCTGGACAAATGGCTCAGTTTGTTGGAGTATTATCCTGTGCACCAAAAGGTTTTGGGTTCGATTCTCAGTCAGGGCACATACCTAGGTTACAGGTTCGATTTCCAGTCCAGTTGCATTCAGGAAGCAGCTGATCAATGTTTCTTTCTCACATCCATATTTCACTCTCTCTCCCCCTTCCTCTATCTCTCTCAAATCAATAAAAACATATCCTCATGTGAGAATAAAAATAATAAAAATAAAAAGAGGAGGGATGTGCAATGCTAAAAAGTCTTTGCACCCACTTTAGGAAGGCAGGATTAAAACTCACTATCATTGTAAGAGAAATATAAAAATATTAAATTGCTTATTCTTTTTGTAGCTTTTGAGTGGCACTGGAAATTCCTAATAATTAGGAATATTTAGTAGGTCTGCTATGCTAAAGCCTTACTCTGGCTTAATTAATTCTTAGGATTGACTAACTACCATCATGAGGATGATTTCCTAATCTATGTCTCTCTTATGATGTGAAATAGTATATGAAAAAGCCCTGCCTTTTCATGTAATATTCAAAATCACATTTTCTTCTCCTTGCATATTTCTTTATAGATTTATTTCTCAGATGACAGTAACGTTTTAGTGTGTAAATGTCCATCTTATCCAAAATGAATTTGTTGTTCCTCTTTCCCTCCCCCACCCCAAACATTGAGTACCTCTCAAAATTTCTCCAATATTTTAACTTCAGAGTAAAATTATACCTATTAGTCTTCACATCTTATATATAGAGCAGTAACAAATCTTATCGACTTATATTTCTACATTTTTTCACTCTTATGAATAGCATCACTAATGTGTGTTCTGTAGCTCCTGAGATTTTTCAGCATGCCGTCAATGGCCACACTCATCTCTACCATTAGTGCAATCTCAAACTTCATCATCACGAACTCTAAACAAGCTGCAGTAACTCCACCTTTCCTAGAAAAACAAGGATGCATTTCAGATTTGGGCAATCAAGTTATTTCATACTAGAGGCCCAGTTCATGAATTCAAGTATGGTGGGGTCCCTCGGCCTGGCCAACAGTTGGGGCTGTGGGAGGTTGGCCGACCAAGGGAAGGGGCTGCAGGTGGTTGGTCTCCCCAATTGGGGCCATCGGGCCAGCAGGTGGGGGTTGGAGGAGATGGGGAGGGTCTGCGGGAGATTGGCTGGCTGGGGGAAGGGACTACAGGAAGTTGGCCAGCTGGCCTTGTCAGGGCTGATTGGGGCCTGCCGGCCAGGGGGAGAGACCATGGGAAGTTGGCCGGCCACAGGAGGTTGGCTGTGGGAGCGCACTGACCACCAGGGGGGCAGCTTCTACATGGAGTGTCTTCCCCCTAGTGGTCAGTGTGCATCATAGCAACTGGTCAACTGGTTGTTTGGTCGTTTGATTGCTTAGGCTTTATATATATATATATATATAAATAGATAGATGCTGCTCTAGACTAGGCAAATGTTTTTTCATAAATCTAGTTGCATTGGAATGAGGATGTCACCAAGAAAACAGACATGGGTCACAACAAAATATCAGCCCCAAAGTACTGACAGGAGGCTCTTTTTTATCGGTAAGAAGAATAGGTTATGATGTTATTACTAGGATCTTTTAAAGAGATATTTTATAGATGAGTATACTCCAGTTTTAAAAGGCTTTCCTCTTAAAGTCCAGTTAAGTATTTTTATTCTGATCCCACAGTGAAATTTTTATTGTCCTCAGGAAAGGAGAAGTATATTTTGGAAATATTTAAGACTAATAATGATGAAAGAGCCTGTGGTGGGAGGATCAACCAGTCAGTATTTCTAGATATTCAGAAGGTAAATGACAACACCAGGTGTCTAGAAAGCAGTTAAAAACTAATTGGATTGAACCAGAGTGACAGATAATGTATGAGGAGGAAATATGTGGTTGACCTACTTAGGCCTTGGCAAGTTGGTGAGAACTAACTCCACAGAACTAAACAGAACAGTAAAAATTTAAGTAGGGGATCCTGAGAATCAATCTGATAAATTATTATAAAAGAATAAACAATGAAGGACATATTTTGCTGATTGACATTAAAGTTTAAAGTCAAATATCCACCTGTCCCATGTGAGGTTGACCTTTGAGCTCTGGAGTTGCTACAGTGACCAAATGAAAAGGGGACAGTGACCAATCAGTGGGGATATCAAGCCACAAAGATCTGCAGCCTTTATAAACTCTAGGAAAAAGGGACTCAGTGGGCTCTTTCCCCCTCCTCACATGGGAGTCTGTGCTTGTTTCTCAATAAATTTCCACCTTTGCTATACCAACTTTCATCCGTGGTTTCATTCTTCGACTCCACCAGACAGGAGCCTGGGAACCATTCTACCCAGGTTAACACCATGTGTTTCCAGTCCAAATTACCTGTATCATTATGTCTCCAGATCTAGGGTTAATTACAACTCTCAGCTATTTCTTATCCTGGGGCACTATCCATCTTTATTTATTGTTTCCCTAAGTCTCATTTATCTAACCTGAATGTGAAATGTCTTACCTATTGGGAGCATGACTTATATAAGTATAAACCACAAAATCTAAAAGAAAAATAAGAATCTTAGTTTGAATATAATAATCCTATACATTTCTTAAGAAAAACTATTTCTCAAGTAGAATTATATTTATTATAATTTACTAGAGGCCCGGCGCACAAAAATTTGTGCACTCGGGGGGAGGGGGGGTTCCTCAGCCCGGCCTGTGCCCTCTCCCAGTCTGGGACCCCTCGGGAGATAACGACCTGCTGGCTTAGGCCTTCTCCCGGGTGGCAGAGGGCAGGCCCAATCCCTAGGTGCAGCCCCTGGTCGGCTCAGAGCAGGGCCGATTGGGGGGTTGGGGCACCGCCCCTGTCACACTCAAGGCAGGGTCAATGGGGAGGTTGCAGTGCCACCCCCTGTCACGCACAGAGCAGGGCCAATCAGGGGGGTTGGGGCTCCATACCCTGTCACGCACAGAGCAGGGTCAATCAAGGGGTTGGGGAGCTCCTCCCTGTCATGCACAGAGCAGGGCCGATCAGGGGGTTGAGGAGCTCCCCCCTGTCACTCACAGAGTAGGGCCGATAGGGGATTTGGGGCACCGCCCCTTGTCACACTCAGGGCAGGGCGGATCAGGGGGTTGGGGCTCCACCCTCTATCACCCACAGAGCAGGGCTGATCAGGGCGTTGGGGGGCCGCCACTGTCACACTCAAGGCAGGGCCGATGGGGAGGTTATGGCTCTACCCAGTCACACACAGAGCATGGCCCGTGGCGGGGCGGGGGGGAGGGCGAGGTTTGGGGCGCCACACCCTGTCACACACAGAGCAGGGCTGATCAGGGGGTTGAGGCGCTGCATCCTGTCACACACAGAGCCGCAGGGGGGCCAGGGGGTTGGGGAGCTCCCCCCTGTCATGAACAGAGCAGGGTGGATAGGGAGGTTGTGCACCCGCCCCCTGTCACACACAGAGCTGCAGGGTGATCAGGGGGTTTGGGCACTTCCCCCTGTCACGCTGATCCCGGTGCTGGGAGGCATATTACCCTTTTACTATATAGGATAGAGGCCTGGTTCATGGGTGGGGCTGGCTGGTTTGCCCTGAAGGGTGTCCTGGATCAGGGTGGGGGTCCCCACTGGGGTGCCTGGCCAGCCTGGGTGAGGGGATGATGGCTGTTTACAGCTGTTCACACACCCTTCAGGGTGGGAGTCCCCACTGGGGTGCCTGGCCAGTCTGGGTGAGTGGCTGAGGGCTGTTTTCAGACTGGCGGGTGATGGAAGCTCCCAACTGCTCCTTTTTTTCTTTCTTTTTTTTTTATTCTGGGCCTGCTTTAGCTCTGCCTCCAGCTCTGAGGCTTCTGCTGCTGAAAGAAGGTATCTGGTTTGTTTCGGTTCTATTATCGAAACACTATATAACTCCAGCTCTGAGATCCCGGGCTCACTGAAAGCAGGTTTCTGGGGTTTTGTTTAGCTTCTTATATTTGTTATAATGTTTCTTAAACTGCAGGCTCAGAGGCCGGCAAAGCAGGCAGGGAACGTTGGTTTCCTCCGTCACTGGAGCAAGCAAGCCTCATGTTAGTTTCAAGCTGCCTGGCTGCCAGCCGCCATCTTGGCTGGCAGTTAATTTGCATAGCTCGCTGATTAGCCAATGGGAAGGGTAGCGGTCGTACACCAATTACCATGTTTCTCTTTTATTAGATAGGATGTGGACGAAAGAGGCCACACGCTGACCTGACAAGCTCAGGGAAGGCCTGCGCGGCAGCCTAGCAGACTCAGAGACCTAAAATAACCACAAAGGATGGTCTGAAATTAAACTTTAACTAAAAGCAGTTATGATGTGCAGTTATGTCCTAGGCCAGTATCTTCACTGACAAGATCAACTTTGATCCCTACTGAGCCCATTTGCCTTTTTGCCTCTAAGATAACATACCCTTGAAATGTCTGGGTAATTTGTAACTTCCCTTTTACTGGAGCCCCTGGGGCACAACCAAATGTTCTGGGCACCAGGACAGATACTACAAATTCCTTCATTATCATGTTAATTGATCCTGCACCCACCTAAGTATGTGTCCATCATTTTACTTTTTATCCTATCCTAGAGGTTTCCCCGCTTCGCTTAATCCTACCTCCTTAAATCTGTCACCAATGAATTTCATGTAACCCA